TGATTAATGCCTTCGTATTGCCGTCTCCTAGAACTGATCGGCGCTACACCGCACACTCTTTTCTCTTTCTTTCTCTCTCTCACTCTCTCTCTCTCCCTTGCGTTGCCCATTCTTACAAATTACACTTGAGTACACGCTTGTGGATATAAATACTCGCGAATATAAGTGTCGCGGAAATGTAGCACGACGGCGGCCAATTTCGCTAATGCAATTCTAAGGAGGAGCGACAAGCTTCATCGAGGAGATTAACTTTCTGGATATTGTAAGAGATACATTGAACACTGGAATGCTGTTGTCGGATCGCGCTGATCTTTCTTTGGCCACGACTTTGGGAAGTTTGAACGTATAAGAGTTGCGAGGAAAGGCCGAGGCCAGAGAAGGTAAAGGGCAAAATGCAAAGAGAGGAAACGACTCTCTACGCAGGAAGAAGCAGGGAGGAGGGAGGCGGCCTCAACGAGCTGCCATTCAAAGTCCACAATAGCAGCGATATATTTTCTCCCAAGTACTATGCTAGGTATAAGTGTATGTACGTTGCGTTAATACGTGTCATCATTTCGCGCCAGTACCCGCGATTCTTCGCATATATGTATGAGTAGCCTCGAAGGGAACCGCGAAACTACGCAAGCCGTGTCGCGAAATCTTCCCGATGCGAAATCTTGTCTCGTCGAAATAAAACGTCGCCACCTTTTTCCCCTCGTTCCACAATCCAGCGTGGAACTTGAACGCGCGCGCCGAGACAAGTGTCTAAAGAAGCGCGTCAGCCTTTATTCCCGGGGGAATGAAATCCGCTTAAAGATGGATCAAGCTCACCATCGTATTTCGCTGAGGAATCGAAGATGCGAGATAACGGTGCCTCCGCGCATAGGCGAAGGAGGAGGACGAGGCCGCGATAGACCGAAGAGAACACGCGCTTTTACAGTAACGCAACGGCGGGTATCCAAAAGAGGCGACTTTTGGCGACTGTCGGTGCAAAGCTGCATCGTTCTCTCCTTCGCGGTAATTCGAAGGAAGAGCAAGGAGAGGAGGGGAGGATAACATTGAGGCGATTACCCGCTCATCAACTCTCTTCTACGAAGCTACGAGGTTTACACCTAACAAGCTCTCTATAATGCCACGAGTATACGATTAACTAATAGCTATTTGTTGGCGGGTGTCAAGACGACCACCCTTCGCCCTACGTATCTGTAATATGTACGTATTAAATAGTGTCAATGGTTATCGTGTAAAAGCGACGGCCGTTGGGACGACTAGCAGTGAGGACTAGAGTGCATCTACTCGGGAACCGGGGCGTTGTACCGCGACGGGACGATAATTTTGGAAGGACTCGGCCAGCTCGACCATCGTTATTGGAAAAATACGAAATTAGAAAAATAATCTCTATCACCCGCGCTCGCTCGGTGCCGGGCGCACCGCTGAGAGCCGCGCGAGCTCCTCCGCACGGACGAAGGATCGCTTTACGCTCAGGCGAGTCCTCTCTAGCAGCACTGTAACCAGGACGCAGCGAGTTGACTTGTAAACGGCGAACGGTTTACGCGCGTCGGCGGGTTACTCTCTGTTCGGCACTACGCTTCGACTACACCTCGACTACACTTGAGAGAATTGGTAATATACTTTGCGATTGTAATAAGGACGCGCTGTAATCTCGGGGCGATTACCTGATGCCTTGTATCGTGAAATCACGTTAAGCTATGTTTCTCCTTAAAAAAGAAAGAAGAAAGAAAGAAACGGAAGAGGAGTGAATTAACGAGACCGATCGATCCCGCGGGAGTTGGAGAACCTTTGAGGTAGTATCTTTCCCGTCTACATTCGGTTTAAGAAACTGGGCGGGATGGAACAGCTGATTATGTTATCACGTGGATATATTAATAGTTTTCTTGGGCCAATACTTTTCTCTCGGAAACAACAACGGACGCGTAACACAGAACAAGTTTCGAACGAATAATAATGGTTACACGAAGTCCGTTAAAAGATTAGAAAAATATACCTACATATTAACGTTACTGTAAAAAAAATCATTAGACTAGAGGGTCGCGCGTAAGCGAACGTACTTACATAAGTAACAATTATCGCGATTTGACTATCCTTCGAAAACTTATAGAAAAAAGACTCGTCGAGCTATCCTAACTTTGGAATAAACGTGAAAAGCTCCGAACACTGAAAACAATTTTTCACGACGTGTCACCTTCTTTTCTTTACCCTAGGCAAAAGTCGCACTATCATTGCTAGCTGCTGAGTGTTGCAACATCATATGTGTTATCGTCGCTCGGATTTTCTTTCTCTCTCTCTCTCTCTCTCTCTCTCACTCTCTCATTCTTAACAATGCCTGTCTTTAACTCGTGAGTGGTCGCGCCACGAGCGTCGTGTAGCAAGTAAAAGATCTTTTGCTCTTTATTCTCTCTCCGCGATGAAGTATCTCGTCTCGCAACACCCATGCACCTTTCCGACCATCAATATCTCGAGGTGCCTGCGACGAGTACATAAAAATTTCTCGCCCTTTATTCGTTTCCTTTCAACAAGACGCGACCATTCACGCGTTAAGCCTGCGTCCGTGTGTTATCGTTACTGTGTCTCAGTAATCGGCGGCGTGCGGTTATCGGTATTGCCTAGTCGACATTCAAGGGAGGACCGGCGGACCCCGCTCGCTAGTTAGGGTACGTCAGCTGGTAGTAGTCTCCACCCGCGGAGTCCTCATCGGGAATTTGCAATTGCTTCACCCGTTTTATAAGCGCGCTAGAACACAGAATACTGTCGCTGAATTGTGGCGTCTTCTGATGTGTGCGGGCATGTTTATTTCGTTTATTTTGTACAAGCAGGGAGGTAAAACGTATACGTATCGTACGTCAAAGCCTCATAGGGAGGAGTAAAACACGGTTGGATACACACAAGCGGTCCAACTGACACACGTCGCCGTGAATTCGTTATATTTTCGTAAAGAGGACACTTTTTCCGGCCGATCAGCAGGCTGCTCCTCGATACGAAAGTATCACGTATACCGGCAGCGAATCAGTGTACTCTTGTAAACGACTACATTTGTTCTATATAGACCTGCGTATATCGACATTGTTCAACACATTTTACAGAAGGGAATGTTCAGTGCCTCTGGTCTTCTCCCTATACGACCGCACACACTGAGACCAGCTAATCGTTATCGTCGTTAATGAAGAACAGAACGAGAACGAGCTGACGAAACGGACGAGTACGTGATGCCGCGTCTTGACGAAAGCTTCAAGGCTGTCGATTAAGATTAGACGAGATCGAGGACAGGGGGTGAGGATGTGGAATTCGAGGGAGAGCAAGTCTAACGTGTACTTCACAAGGTGTACGCTTCTTTTTCCGTTTTTCGCCGAGAAAGCCACCAAGTAAAAAGGAGTCAGCGACGTGAAGGAGAGTAGGCTGTTATGCGCGTGTGGCCATGACGTGCTCGAAACTTACGCGACTCGCGATCGTCATTGCGTGTGATATCGCGATCCGAAATGTTGCCTCTAAAGCACTTCATGCTCCCGATACGGAAAATCGCTTTCCTCAATTAAGAGATGTGGAGAAGACGGAGCTTGACGCGTGAAATCTCCCCCGCGCGACGTGCTTAACGGATTTCTGCGATTCGTTGCAGTTTCGTACTGTTTCGGAATCCGGATTAAAACTGTAAAATTGCATATATATCGTATCAACGGTGTACGGTGTGCATAGGACATGAAAAGAATTTTAAAGGGACACTGTATGACACTCTTCCTCCCCAAGACTCTTATTAAGTTGTTACCTAACTGAGCGAAAAGGTAATCACACACATTGTAAAAAGAAATAGAAGTTCGGAATATATTATAATGTAGCGCGTGAGAAAATTAAAACATCACGGATATAGAATTACCCAAGAGAGATACTGTCGAGTTTTTTCAGATAATTGAAAATTGTGCAAGTGCGCAGTTTTCCCTGAGATGAAACATCAGCTTAATTAATTTCAAACGAGGGGTAAACCGCTGAGGGCATTGCGGTGTACAGATTCGCGGCATTAACGGTCATTACCAGGCATTACTAGGCATTATTTGGGCCTTGCTGGGTCATTATAAAGATAAAGTAAGATAAAATAGGACAAAACAAGATAAATAAGATAAAGTAATGCCCGCTAAGCATTTAGTAGGCGTTGGCGTACATGATTTTGGTCAGCGGTTTACTCCTCGATTTCAAAGATAGAGATGCTCCCACCTACGCACATCAATTTCCCATAACTTGTCATTTGATACTTAGTGTTCACCTTTGTCGAATTTTTTTGTACACAAGGGGAATGATATACAAAAGATTCGAAAGGTCGTAATTAATATTGGAAATTTAAGAATGTAGCTTATAGTTACGGTGGACACAGACAGCGGCTATACATCAATTTAATGGTTGGATAACCCATCCTTTGTCTCCTTCCGACGTGCAGTATGCACACTTTATCGACTAATAAATTATGTTACAGCATCGACCAGGTACCTTTTCAATCTTCCTACGCGGTTTACCTGCTCTAATCAAAATTACGGTTTTGGCACTGTATTACAGTCTCTAGTTGAGAACTCTGCGATGAAATTAACGATTGTGCACTCGAAGTAATAATCAATATTACGCAACTAGGAAAGTAAAACTATAATTGATGCGGGTGCGTAGGGACTAATGTACAGATTCGTTCAAGGCATAAAAGGGATACGATGTTGCAATTGGCATATCTGAGAAGCAATACAGAAGGAAAAAGCGCAACAAGAACGGAAATGAGATAATTGCGTTTAACCGGATTTTATCTATATGCAGAAAATAACCACGTCAACGAGGAAGCGGTATTCCTTCACCCCGGAGGGGAGAAACGTCTTTGCATAATCTACATACAATTTGCAAGTGCGTCACGCGTTGTAAATCGAACCGCGGGTAATGTTTCGTTAATCATTCCCGAAGAAGCATCATGCATCACGAAGTTTTACGTTTCGACAGCAACGCAAGCATGAAGGGTAGCAAATAATGTGAATACACACCCAGATTCGGTGGCGGCCTGATTGTTATTGTTGCCGCTGTTGGCGGAATTATTGTTGGTGGAATTGGAATTCGCTTCCTCCATATGCGCGGTGTTCAGCAACGAACTCCAGTGCCTCATCATTTCCTCGCCCTGAGCTTCCAGCTCGGAAATTATAGTGGCGTCATCCAGCTCGTGCAACGCGGGATTTGAGTTTAATCTGAAAGAAAATGAGACAGATGATAATTTGATTCGAGAAAAAAAAAAGGATTAACGTCGGCCTTTCTTCTACATCCAAACTATTAAAATTGTATTGCTTAATGCTAACCGTTGCTGTTCCTCGTAGGAGCTCGCGTCGCTGCCGTCGTAATCTAACATTAAATCATCCGAGGCGATGGATTCGCAGGGCGATAAAGTATCTACACTTCCCGTTCGATGTAAACGCTGCCCGTGATGAGGACTGTTCATTACGCCCTTGACGTGTGCACCACCTGTAACGTAAGTCAGATACATTGTCAGTAACGAAATGTGCGTTTAAGCAAAAGGTTTAGAAATATATATATGTATTTGAAGTTTATTACAACAGTAATTATTAGAATTCAACAAGAACTGGTAACTCAGATCTGATACGACACGCAGTTGGAGATAAGAACTCCAGGAATAACATTGTACTCACTCTTAGAGCTCGGCTCGATCAGAGTCTGGCTATTCTCGGTGATGACTTGATCCCCTGTGGCGGACTGCGTTTCAACTCTCGCCCTCGAGTCGTCGTTGAAGATTAGTCCGGGCTGATCTGCAATCTCATCGTCGAAGAACTCTCTACCCTCGGACAAGCTGAGCGAGTTGGAGGCGTTCGTCGGCGTGCCCGGACCGTCGTCTTCGAGGGTGTTGTCCGAACGCTCGTGCGCGTGTTCCTCGTCCCTCTTCGAGGGCTTTCCATCCGACTGAGTGATGCTGGCGGTGGGACTGTCGAACAGGCTGTCGACCGGCGAGGTCTCGTCGTCTATCAAAGTCGTTGTGGTAGCGGCGGCGGCAGCGAATGCCGGGTCCTCGATGGTAAGCAGCACCGAGCGTAGAACGTTCTTCGACGCCGCGCCGGTTTTCGTGGCGGCGGTGATCGCCTGCGTGTGCTGGGCGATGATGGAATTGGAACGCTGGTACTCGTCGCTGGAGCTCAACGAGTACTCGTCCGCCATGGCTTCGCCGTGGCCGTACTCGGGATCGTCCGAGCTGGGCGGGCTGAAGTCCGATTTGATAGACGGGACCTTCTCCGTGCGCGATCGATCCTTGTAGGCCTTCTCCTCGCTCAGACAACCTTCGTCGTAGCCCTCCGAGGATGTGGTGGACATCGACGCGGTCGAATCGGTGTATCTATTGTCCTTGTTGACGATTCGCTGGTACTGCGTGGCCCGCTCTCGCACAAAGCCGGTGTTCAGATTCGCCGCGGTGCTGGCAAAGGACTTGGGCAGCGGTATCACCGAGATCTCCGTGACCGTGCTGTCGTCGTCGCGGACATCTCTTACGTCGAAACTCTTGCCGCTTACCACCATGCGTAGATTTCTCGGTCTGCCGACACCGCGTCTTCTCATGGCACCGTCGTCCATGTAATCCACCGACCTGATCCTATCGTTGTCCTCCGGTCCGGTCGGCTGGCTGCTGACGCCCGAGTCCTCGGTCACCGAGCCCTCCTTCGAACTGGACGAGCCCCCCTTCAACGTCGACGACGTGGATATCTTTCTGCTCTGATTCGCCGCGGTCTTGGCGATCTTGGAGTTGGAGTCACTCACCCGCACGGCGAACTGCGGTTGCGGCAGGTGACTGGTGTGCAGCGTGTACCTGCTGATGGGTTCCGGAATGCCTGAGACTCGTCTGTTTGCGTCCGCCTGTTGCGCCATTAAATTGCTGCCATAAGTCGCGTTGTTCGACAGCGATGGGCGAGGCTTCGCCGGTGCCGTCGGGCCGCACAGTTGCTGCGGCACGTGCGCAACGACTCTGTTCGGCTGTTGCTGCTTGACAAAGTAGTTGTCCGTTTGCTGCTGCTGCTGCTGTTGCTGCGGATATTGCTGCAGCTTCTCCTGATTATAGTGGCTGATGCTGTGGCTGTTGCAGATGTCGCCGACCTTGTTCGTGAACCTCGCCTGGGGTTGTCGATAGCCGAAACGGTTCGTCCTGACCCCGATCCCGCTCGAGTCCTTCTTCGGCGGCGCCAGCCGCGGCGTCGACCGGCCGGACGACGAATTATGAATCACGTTGCAGTTATCGTCGTCCAGCATCCGCCTGCGATCCTGCTCCGGGCCGGCCGACTTCGATCGTGGATGCAGCAGGCTCTTCTCGTTGTTGGTGCTGGTGACATAGTTGTTCGTTATCGGCATCGGGATCCCGCTGGCGGGCCGTCGCCGGAAGCCGAAAGACATCGCGGTGCCGCGCGTATGCGACGTGCCACGCCTCGACGAGCCCTGAAACGAGGAGTTTTCGTTAGCGCAGAGAGCCGAGAGTCGTCAGAAGTAGAATGTAAAAAAAATACAAGCGAAGAACGCAGAACACGATGAGAAAGAGACATTGCAGAAGAAAGAATTGAGCACGCATACACATTATTTTTATCAGAGGCTTTTTATAACATCTTTTTCGACACGAATCGCTTATTAGGAATGCAAGAGATCATTCACGGGTCTTCGATCGGTCCGTGGATCGCTATCGCATTTCTACGGTCGTCACGAACAAAGAGCACTTTCGTATCAAGATGTAAGAGCCGGAATTATCAGCGGCGTATCGTCCCTAGTCACGCATTAGCCGCGATTATATCCGTGGAGGAAGATCGATATCCCGTATAATTGAATTTCGACGAGCGGATTGTGAACTTGGCTTTCATCGCACATTATATGTCTCGGCCATCTGAGCACGATCTCGGCCCAATCATCCTTTTACTCTCGAGCCGTATCCCGTTTCTTTCGAGTGTCCACTCGGCGCCAAGTGCGCGTAGACGTCGCACGCTCGTAGGGTTTCAGGGGATTGTTCGACGAACCTTCTGCGTGGTGTCCGGCTGCAACAACATCAATCGATATTCGCCTGCGGATTATATAACGGCGCGGTGCCGATAGCGCGTCCCGCCGCGGACGAGGCTACCCGGAGCAACGTGCACGCGAGGAGCAACACCGCGTTGTCCATGATCGAGACGACTGAGAAGCCGCTCGCGAGAGGCTCAGCGCGCGGCAGCCGCAACCCCGTTTGAACTCCAGAAATAGCGTAACCGCGGCCGACAAATCTGGGAGCGCGCCCACGGGCTTGCGGCTCGCGAAGTGGCTCGGCGAAACCTCGACTCCGCCGCGCTCAACGCGCGGACGCACGGTTTCGCGACGGCCGTGAATCGACCGCGAGGACGTCGTCCCCTTGGATGATCGCGCGTGTGGTACACCCTGCGCGCTAGGCTACGACAAACGTACGAAATCGTCTTGCGTAGGCCGTGCCAGCGAGGATACGCGATTCAGATCCGGAGTCGAGTGCGGTCGGAGGTGCACCCTGTCTCGAGATCGCGATCTATTAATTCGTCTGGATAATCAAGAGTCATTTTTCAGAAACGAGAGAATCGGATTCACCGTGAAGCTACGGGGACTTGGACGAAACGACAGAAGAAGCACGCGATCGATGGCACGACACCCTGACGATGCCTACCGACGACAATCCCACCCGATCAGTCGCACGCAACACTGCCCGCGGCACCCTCGAGCAGGTTCTCCCTGAGAAGAGGAGGACGATCCGTAGGGGAAGGACGAGCTATTCTGCCTTACCGCAACGCCTGTGCCCTTCTCGTTCTCCAGCGAGTCGTCCTCGCACCTCGTGCTGCCGCACCGGTACTCCATGACGGCTGCTTCCGGGCCAATGTCAGCCGGTCGTCGATCGATCTCCCACGGGGATTGACGGCCGCTCGCCGTCGCTTCACGTCGCCATGCCCCGAATATATATTTTTATCCGGCGCGTGAGAAGGCTGGCAGAGAGCTCTCTTCGTACTCCGTTACATCGTAAGGATGGCATACGACGGTGAGGGAATGCGTGACACCGCACCGACGTCGCCCTCCGCCGCCGCCGCCGTCGCCGTCGTCGTCGTCGTCACAGTCACCCCCGCGTTTCACGCTCTTCCCTCGTCTCTCTCTCTCGCTCCTTCGCGACTTCGGCCTCGTCGTGCGAGACTCGGGCCGCGAAGGAAAGCGAACGCGGGGATCGATCCGGTCGTCTGCGCCGGCGTCGCGACGTCGACGTGCACACGGCGACGCGGCCGGGGGCTGATTTTGCGCCCGCGTCCCGGCTACCACCCGGTATACAGGGTGTTCCTCGAGAAGCGCGAGAGGTGTGTCCGATCAACCCGACTCTCGGAGGGGCCGGCCAGCATTTCCTCGGCCGGGCGCGCACCCCGACTCGACGGGGCCCGCATCTTGAGCGTCCAGAAACGATCCCTCCGATCCTTCGTCCCGCGCTCCTCCCGGCTTTCAGGGTTCCGTTGAAGACCAATCGATTTCACGTCCCGCGAAGAGAAGGTGTCTCTGTCACCGGTCGCCCTCGTTCAGGACGCACCCTGTATACACGGCTTGGATGATTCAACGTGTCCGAGTGTGCGTCGTCATCGCGGCGCGTCGCTATCGGCGAATGGAGCTCGCAGACCGATGATGATGATGATTACGCGAAACCGACGAAGCGCAGCGATTACCTTTGCGCGAACGGCTCTAATGAGGGCATCGGGAGGAATTGCGAGAATCACTTTAAGCCAGCGCAATCTCAATCGGGAAATGTTGATACGATAAACCGGACGATTTGATTGTGTAACGCTGAGTCCAGAGAAACTGCCGGTCTTACGACGAAACAAAGATGCAATCGGTGGGTAGATATGATAAGGGTTTACTAGTAAACTTGGATTTCGTCTTGTTATCGTCTCTTTTCTTTTTTCAAAATTAAGTTCTTTGTAATCGGTCTTGCTGATAAGGAAGACAAACCTTTGCGCCTCACGCGCGCGATAATGCCGCGAACAAAGGTGGCAGTGGCGACGTGCGAACCATTCGAATACGCATCGAGTTGGATGAGATTCGGCACGATTCGAACTTGAATTCGCTGAAGCGAAGCGGATCCATTCGAGAATGTTGAAAATGTCCAAGTGGTTCGAATACGAATCATACATTCCCATCGAAATATTCTCCCATTATCTACACTGGGAAAAATTTTGATCGGCTAAACCATTTAAATAGTGTTTCCGATGGTTAATTTTTCCGATGAAATGATGGATACATCCGATGAAATTTGATTGAAAAATTGACCACATTTTTCATCGGATATACAATTTAATCGGACATTTACCTCAGTGTACGTGTTAAAATTCGATCTATAATGATTATATTGTTAATTAAAAGTTACATTTCAGCTGTCCGACTCGACTTAATTTGATTTGCAAAATCTTGCCGATTCGAATTTGAAAAGGGGAACGAAGTTCGATTCGACATCTCTAGCAGGCGTCCAGGCGATCGGGATGATACGAGCGGACTTCCTCGTCGTCCACGTCGCTCGTCGACGCAACTCTCGCGCGCACTACGTTCGTGTGCAACCGTTTCACCGGAGGAAAGGAGGCGCTTCCGCTCTGGACGCAGACATCTCGGGGAGATCTCCGGCTCGGAAACGCCAGCCTCTAACGAGAGGACATCAGGGGGGAACAATGGAAAGAAGCGGCGTTCGATCCGGCGTGTGATCACGCCGTGCGAATCGGCACGGCCGCGGCGCGGGAGGACGAGGCGGCGCGGCGAGAGACAATGGGGAGAGAAAAGACGAGAGTTCTCTCTCCGCGATTTCTCCTTCTTCGCACCTGAACCGTGCACACGCCGAGTGTTCTCTCCGGCATCTCTTATCCAGCCTCCCCGGCTTCCGGCGCGGGGCTGCCGTGGAAGCGGCACGCGTGACGCCGAACAATGGAAAGCAACGTCGTCGTCGTCGTCGTCGGCCGAAACGAGATCGGTCGCGTGAATCGCGGCGTATCTCCCGAGCGGGCGCAAAAGTTCTCATAATTAAGGGGCACGAGGGTTCTGTTAAGAGGACGAGGCTTCAACTCGAACTCAGAGGCGGAATCGCGCCGCTCGCGAAAGCCGGCGATGATTCATGAATGAAACATCAGCGGACGATTCGCGTGCGCGAAGACTCGCGAAACTCGAATTGAACGCTGAAACTCGCGCAGATTAGCACCCATCGTCCTCCTGGACGATCGTCTTATTTCAAAGACGCTAACAATTCTTTTTCCACTATACGCGCTTTTCTTGCACACTGAGAAAAATATCCGATTAAATACAATCGGATAATCCAATTACATAATAACAAACAGATATATCTGATAAAGTTAATCGGAAACACTACTTCATTGGTTTAGCCGATAGAAAATTTTTCTCAGTGTACAAAATTATGTTTATATCAGAGTTGGGAAAGTTACTTTATAAAAGTATCTAGTTGCAGTGGAGGTTTAAAAAGTATATAAAGTAACTCTTAATGCAAATATTAAGTTACTAGTTATCGAAAAAATGTAACTGAGTTGAGTTACAGTTACAGATGGAGAGAAAGTAACGGAGTTAAGTTATAGAGTTGCCAAAAAGAAGTAACTGTAACTTCGTTACAAGGAACGGAGTTACTTCCCAACCCTGGTTTACACTACCTCAGTGCATCAACACTGGACAAGACGGTGCGAGTCCAGGCAACGGTAATCACTATTATAGCGGCGTTTCATCACATCACGTCCGTTCGGAAGATAATTAATTCGTGCATGAGAAAGTTAACGCGAGCCGCGAAAGTGGTTAGCATAACTTACAGGATACATCGAGATACGTTCGACAGTCGAACTTTTCTTAGATTAATCGTTAGAGCAGGCATTCGAGCGTGCGAGCGATTACGCGGCGCGCTTATCCGCAGATCACGTATCGAAAGTGTAGACTTGAATAAGGAAGGGTCGACGATAGCAATTGTAATATCGGTTATTGTCGAAACTGCCCGAGCATTTCGACCCGACCGGCGCTCTCAGATGTGCACGCCGAACAATAGCGAGACTTGTAGCGAAAGGGTCAGAGCGCAAAGCAACGTAACTCGTCGTCTACAATGCATGGAGTCAGCCTGGTGTATGGAGTAGGAGTAAGGAAATAAATCAATTTTATATCTTACTCCTACTTCAGCTCCTGCGCTTACTCTCGGCAAATCAGTACGCTATCGGCCAGTGTTACAAATATATTAAAAATTATGCCTGCACCGAGAGACCCATTTTGTTCTTCCTTCTAATCTCTTTCTTCTTTCTGTCCAAAGTTCCGCCAACTTTATTACACCCCTTCTTTCTCTGCCTCCAAGTTCTCATTCCGAGCGTCATTTTTATGAAGAGAAACGGGACGCCCGGCGCCGCGAATCATCGTCTATTCGCGGGTGAAGCGCGATCCCGTTGCGGGTGGAATCGCGTTTGAGAAAGGGCGTTGAACCTCGACGTGGCCTTCAGCCTAGCCGCCCGCGCGATCAGCTGGATTCTCCGCTACGCGCCGCGCGTATGTACATCCGAGCACACACGCGATTCTCGGCGTACGTACAACGTATGTATAACGTGAGCCCTCGTGGATATTGCGTAAATGCAATAACGGCAGAAGCCAGGGACACGCTCGATGTCCACGGCGAACGCGGACCTTGAAGTTCAACGTCCATCGGCGGGTATAGTCGACGTTTCTATCACCTGGCCGCGGCTCTACGACGGCATAGAGACAGTGGAGCTCACCTGTTTCTGGGCCTTGTCCATGACACGGTACGAGGACGAGTTGTGATGACCGGATGCTGCGACGACGGCGCCCGCCTTACGAGACACGCATTGCCCCATATAGATCCGCCAACCTTGTCCCGGCACCGAACGCTGCTCACACGAGAATATTTAATTAGTAAGAGTACAAATGCGAGATGCGCGTTCGTGCGCTTACGCTAATTTGTTAGAGCCGTGTTCAGGAGAGAGCGCGCAGAGTCGAAGACAGAAGACCAAGGTGCACTCGTGTAAATTAGTAGGCGAGAGCTTTTCCGTTAACAAGCTATTACACGCCCGCATGCCGTCGACACGTAGAGCGGAAGGAGTTAAACTATGCGTGTAACAGTCCTCATCCCAGTCCCGCGCACCTGCCTGCCCATTCAGCCAACCTTCGTTAATATTTCACGTCGCGGTCGACTGGTCGTCGCGCGGAATCCTCGTTCGATGGAATCGAACGAGGCGAAGATCATCGAGCGAAAAGAAAGTGCAGGCGGCGGGGGGGACATGCAGCCGAGGTACCAAGAACTAGACAAAGTACCGCCACCAGAAGCACCGTGTAAGTCCGGGAAAAGTTCCGCGCTGATCGATACGTGAAAAGCCTATTTCTCGGGCGGGAGGAGAAAATGCGCGATTTAACCGGTCGAGGTATGTCGAGGCACATCGTCCGTGATTACCTTTCGCGTTACGGCACCGGTTCTCGATCTCGCGGGTCACGAACTCGAACTCGCGTCCCCATTAGATGCGCCAGTGCTCGGTGAGAACATCAACGTGGAATCGACGTCGACGCGGTTTCGACCCCATTCACGTCGAGTCGACGTTAGTGCTCTCTCACTACACCGAGAAAAATGTCCGATTAAGTATAATCGGATAATCCAATTACATAACAACAAGCGGATATATCCGATTAAATTCCTGGGTTGGGAAGTAACTCCGTTCCTTGTAACGAAGTTACAGTTACTTCTTTTTGGCAGCTCTAACTTAACTCCGTTACTTTCTCTCCATCTGTAACTGTAACTCAACTCAGTCACATTTTTTTCGATAACTAGTAATTTAATAGTTACATTAAGTCGAGTTACTCTATACGTATATTTTTTATACCTCCATAGATTGCACCAGGCCTTGCATTTGCGCATAAACGCCTTTATCGACACTTTGCGATTCAAATGCAGACTTGATATTTTTGTTTTACATTGCAAGAAAGTAACTGCAAAGTAACGATTCGTTCCTTTTCGAGTAACTGTAACGCGTTACTTTTCAGAACTGGTAACTCGTAACTGTAACCAGTTACATTTTTAGCAAAAAGACTGTAACTGTAACTGGATACTTTTATAAAGTGACTTTCCCAACTAATTGGATTATCCGATTATATTTAATCGGTCATTTTTCTCACTGTAGGTGTTGCGTTGTAGTGTTTCCTCGCCAAGAGGTGACATCAACAGCGGGGGAGAAAGAAATGAATGAATGTAAAGGGCGCTTTTCGGCACTGAAGGGATCCTCGTAAGAATATTTTATTCAAGAGGACAGCCGGATGGAGGTGTGTTTGAAATGGAAGGGAGACGGTTCAATAAAGTATCTCATTCCTCCGATGGGATTACCCAGCTACCGAGAATATCGATGTAAATCCATAAAGGGACGCGATCGCTAAATTCGGAAAATAGGGCGCAGATTTTACAGGGTCTCTCGAGCGTCGCTCTCCTCGAAAATTCGGCACGGATCGAACGGAAATGGGTGTTGACCCACAAGCGCGGGACGTGATAGCGATGACTCGCTAAACTTTTCAGCTCTCGCGAGATGAATACCAGGGAAATATATTTACCGTTGCGTCAATAATTCTTTTAATTTAAATTGAATTTTAAACGAATGTAAAAAAAATTTAAAAATGATTCATTTTTAATGCAAACATGTCGAGGGAGATTAGCTGTACTTATAGTTAGCTTTCGTCGCGCGTGGACGGTTCCTTGAGATAGCGAACACGTTCCGGCATCGCTGAAACCTGTCGGCTTTTTTTTAAAAAAAAAGAACGTGTAAAAACCGCAGGAAGCGCCCGAGGAATTTTATTCGAAATGCATCGCATAGATGGTGAAAGGTGACCGGCTACGATCTCCAAATGTAGGACGATAAATGGCACTGGCCCGATTTGTCGTAGAGAGCATTGCGGATTACATTAGCTCGCGTTGTCGCGCACGTCGGAATCGCCGAAGTAAAGGAGGAGAATTCTGATAACTCCAAGACTTGCTCGAAGGGTTCCATAGATACGGATGCGTCGAAATTGAAATAGCGAACGTTAAAATATTGAGCGAATCAATCGGTAACGTGGCGAAAAATCCAAGTCCCCGTTAATCTCCGCGAGCAAAGCTGGAAATTATCCTCGACGCAGCTCTTTGCGGGGAGAGATTTCTCTCCACACTCTCTAAAAGTCAATCGGTGGATTATCACGGAAAACAGTGAATGTTCACTGGTTCGCAGTTACAATCCACTGATTGACTTTCAGAGAGTAGACATGTTAACCATAGACTGCTTACCCAGCGCGAAATGACTCGTCGATCGTTGTCGAAACGATGTCGGCATCAACACCGTCAACTTGACGTCGATCGGACATCAGTTCGAAGGCGTCAATATTGATCGACGAGTCATTTCTCACTGGGTATGAGCGGTAGAATCCTCCTGAGGGGAAAGTATAGTATGGATTTATTTGGTGTCTATCTTCCTCTAATGGGCGTGAGCCACGAGAGTGAGTCAGGGGAAGATAGGCCATCCAAATAAATTCATACTATCCTTTTCCCTCCGGAGGATGCCCCCACTTAGGGCTCCACTGCCTCTTGAGCAGTCTATGATTGATATGTCTACGTTTCTCTCCGGATGAGAAGAGTATCGAGACCTACTGTTCCGTACGTGGGTCCCGGAAATTTCTGTCTTCAGCTTCGGCGAGATTTTCGGCGGCGACCCGATGACTCGGAGCTCGATGATTTAAACTTATTCTACAATGGACGCAAGACGCTAAGCCGCAACGCAAGAAACAGGCCAAGGACAGTTGATCATTCTTCTCAGATTTGACTGTGATTTCTTGCGTTGCGGCTTAGGCCCGGTTTCAACGTCGCTTAACTTTAGGCCTAGCTTAACTCGTTCTTTGTCTCTTTTCGACTGTTACTTCAGAAAGAGACAAACGTGAATTAAACTGAGATTAAAGTTAAGCGACGTTTGGTGAAACCGGGCCTTAGCGTCTTGCGTTTTGCGCCCATTGTAGAATAATCTGTACCGTACGAGCGACGGGCGAGCGATCGCGTCCGCATCGCGGGGCCTCTCGCCGCCGCTGCGTCGCAAACGTGTGGAATCTGACCTTTCTTGCCGCGGCGTTCGGCTCTCGCGCGAATTCTCCTCTTACCGTTAGCGCGAAACGCTAGCGGCTCACCACGCGGCAACGAAGGTGCGGGCAAAACTCCCCCGTGATCGACGCGACGTTTTCACCACGTTGTCTCCTCTCGCAGGGGTGCACAAACGATCGTCGCGAAAGAAAGGTCGCGGGAGGACTTGCGCGATACACAAACGGAACGATAGCTCGACAGGTCGTTTACTGCGCGTTGTTCGCCGATTCTTCCGACTCGTAAACATGGTCTCGTGGAGAAACGCGGGACTAATCGTTATCCGTTGTATGTCGGACGAATATTTCCTAGGATACGTCCGGCATACTAAGACTCGCATGAAAATGCTAAATATTCAAGACGTTCTACATACTCGAGTACAATTGGACGTCCTACCGTGGTCGTTACGTCGGATGGACGTGCCTTCGAACGCAGTTCTCCGAGTGACGTCCCGAGACGGATGTCAAACCTCCGTGTTTAATTTAATATCGACGACGTAATATTTATTATTACACCCTCAGAAAGGATTTCTGTTACCGAGACAAAAACTGTTTTTGACGCACACTTACATTTCTCGCAACCTCACTTAGTACAAAAATAAGACTGTATCAAAATGAAATCAGTAATTCTTATTCTCCTCTATCGAATTAAAACAGACGCGACCTGCTATATTGAGACACGAGTAACTTATATTATTCTTGCGTTAAGAATAAATTCCCCCCCCCCCCCCATCTTGCGACGCACGGAGTTGGCGCCGCGATATTCGACCAAAAGACGATACGTACTAGTTTCTTCTAGGTTTTAGAATTTTTCATTTGAGATTAAAATATTCCTTTCTCTATAACAAATATGATTGACGCTAAATCGATCCTATTTTATGATACATTCAAGTGTAATTGGATCCGGAAATTTTTCCTGTGGCTGTAAATCCCTTGAAAAGGACCACAATCCGCGTGGCCGAAACGTCGGAATTAAACAAACGAACCATCTGCCAGCCTAGTGTCGTCCAACAATTCTTTTTATCGAATCAGTCGGATGTATTCGACTTATTCGAACTGAACATGTCCACAAGTGGAACGTGTGGATCTTTTATACGTTTCCTAAACATAGGACATTAGACGCATTCAAGAAATATGTATAAAACGTACGTGAACCACCACGTGCTACTATTAGGATCCTTCAATTCTAGACCCTGGAATCTACGTGAGAATTTTTCTCGGGGCCGAGAATCCTTTCTCGATCTCGCGAGTAGCTCCCTTCGGGTTTTCGAGCTTCAACTTCATCCTGTCGCGAACGAAACAGTATTCTCCGTCGGGGGTAAGAGAAGCGGAAGAAGACGGATTGCGAGAAGAAGTTAGAAACAGAGAGCGAGAGGTTGTTAGTAGCGCGTAGAAAATAACGTGCATGCGCCTCTCCCGTGGATTATTACAAGCACATTCCCTGGCTGGTTGTACGCGAGCGCGTCTCCGCGATTTCCTTACTCACAGAAACGGAAATCCCTGCGGTTCTATGCCTGGCCTGCCGTAGAGTAATCTCGAGTACACTGAAAACAAATCAAGTCGTCCACCTTCAGCGCGGGGGTCACAGAACTCGCGCCGCCTCTCAGTCTCGCGCTGCGCTCCACCGCGGTGCGGATCTTATCGTCGAGGGTTGCTTTCGTTCGAGCCGCAGCGTGACGTGCCGTCCGCGATGGACGATCCGATAACGCGCGACGAGACGGACGAGCGTCTTATCTCTCGTTATCAATTATCAGGAGCGGCATCCGTCAAGGGCGCCTCGACGGCTCCGTGACGTAACGCGCCCCGTTCAACGTACGCGGTTGTGCGACGCGGATCAATTCGCGCGGCCTGTCGCTTCGAAAGCCCGCGGGCAATTTGTTCCCCTAATTGTTTTTTGTTTCGTTTTTAAAGGAGTGTTTTAACAAGTTTCTCGATTGTTTGACACTGTAGCAAAACAGCTTCGGTGTGTTCTTGAGCATATCTGGCATTTTTAATAATATACAGAAAATTGAATTGCGAAAAATATTACCTCGGCCAGGGTTTGAACCCTGGACCACCCTTGCTCTCTAGGCGGGCGTCTCGTCAATTGGACCGTAGCTAAACTTCTCCCGATAGTTTCCGCCCCCGGCTAACTCTCTAGAATTTTTGGGGTGAAGACACCGAAGGGGAACACGCACTCTTCGAGGCCCGGTTTCACCAACGCCGTTTATTGTTAGCTTAACTCGTTCTTTGTCTCTTTCCAACTGTTACTTTAGAAAGAGACAAGCACGAATTGAACCAAGAGGCTTGCTTTCCGGTTCCTACACCGGTGAACTAGTGCAATAAGTGAGAGTAAGGCCGGTATTCATAGTCAGATCTTATATTCAAGACCGTCTTAAGATCATCTTTAGATACTCCGTAGCCAATGAAATGTTCCATACAGCATCTTTAGATAAATTCAAGACGGTCTTGGATAGAAGATCCGACTATGAATACCGACCTAAGACAGGCAGAGTTTTTCCTCATTCTAGCTCACTGCACTGGTTCGCCAGTGCAGGAACAGAAAACAAACCTGGGATTAAAGTCGAGCGACGTTTGGTGTAACCGGGCCCAGCGCCCGCTTCCACCAACGCGGTTTACCTTCGATCCCGATTCAACTTACTTCGTATCCTCCTCTAGTTTTACGAATTGAAAAGAAAAGACGAAGTAATTCAACCGCGGAGACTAAAGTCAATCTGCATCGGTGGAAACGGGCATTAAGAGACAGGGAATCGATTAACCTTCGGTCGACGTTCGCGAAACTGGCCCGTACAGGGTGAATGTTTCGCTCCAAAAGCTCTAGAGAGAAGGTTAAGGGCCACCCCGCGCGATCGACGCGCAAGGGGTGCCCGTCGACGGGAGGGGGGGGGGGGGTCGTCGTCGTCGACGATCCTTACCTCTTTCGCAGCTGAATCTCCCGGGTGAGTCGCGCGGATACGTGGTACACATCGTAGGGACTGGGCACGGGGTAGGGGAGGAGCACCTACGAGCAGCGACGCACGAGCGGGCGTGCGTGCATGTCACACCGCGCGATTCGCACGATTCGCCTCGGACGGAACTTGACGGCTGTCCCCGGCGCTCTCCGTGTTGCAGCGAGGGGGGGGGGGGGAGTTGAGACGTCGACGACGGCTGGTGCCGTTCGTCCCGTGAGCGAGCAGGTATTTGCGATGGATGCGGCACGCTGCGCCACGCTGCTCCTCGCCGTCGTGAATGTCGTGATGTCAAAAACGTTCGCCACCGCGGATCCGCGCACCTTTCGCGCGAGCGATCACCTAGCGAGTGTGCGGCGCGGAATCGTGAGTGGACTGTCGAGCCGCACCACCTGTCATTCGGATTCGATAGCACGGAACATGCGTGGTGCGACGTCATCCCGCTCCCGCTCCCGCCGTCGCGGCGAATCGGCTCGCGACCCGCGAAGGAGCACGGAGTGCAGTAGAGTGCAAAGAGAAAGTGACGCTCTCGAGTGTGCCGTCATCTTGGTACCCACTGCCCGTGGCGGTGAGCGCTCAGTGTAATTGGTTAATACTTTTAGATCCAGCCAATCATGTTAAGTAGCGCTCGCTCAATGATTACTTAACATGATTGGCTGGATCTAAAAGCGTTAACCAATAGCCACGTTCTTTCTCTACGTGAACCTCTACCCCCACTCTACATATACTTTGTCTATGGTCCAAGTATTCCTGGATCCATGCTGGACACCGTCGGCCTAACCTCACTTCGAGGTTACGTAAAAGCGCCTTGCGTTAGCCTGAATTACGGTAAGGATGGCGTCGCTGGACGTCGGCAGTGCGGAGGAGGACGATCAGTCCAAGGCGGTGGTGCTGTTCGGCCGTGACATCAGGAAGATTCCCTGCTTCAAGCAGAGCATGCTGTACGGCATCTACGGCGGCGTCGCGGCCGGCCTGGCCACCTTCATGTTCACGAGCCGCGCGAGGCTGTCGACGAACGTCGCCATGGGCTCCTACATGAGCGTCGTCCTGGTCTATTGGTGCTGCTGTCGGTACAACTACGTCGTGCAGAAGAACGCCCTGCAGGACCTGCAGACCATCGTCCGGCAGACGTCGGCAAGCAGCTTGGAGGAGGTCAAGGGGGTCGTTCCCGAGAATCCGAAAGTCGCGTAGAAACCGCTCCGCTTTCCGGGCGCTTTCGAAGTGACGCGCGACGACGAGTACATTGTACGCGGACACGCTGCGACCGTAGCACAATGTGATATAAATAAGATTATTGTATTATATTGATGTAAAATGCGCGTAAAGGGACGCCTGACGAATGCCTGAGTTTTACTTAATTTTCTTTCAACTGTTGTGTAACGTTTACACGGTTGACATCTACGAGGATTCGATTGTATATATGGTATACGTGCAGTAAAATATAGTAGTTTTCTTAAACGCCGAAAGACACAAATTTCAAAGTTACATAGTTGTAATTTTGATAACTTATTGTATGACTGCACTGCTGCATTATATTAAACTCGAACTGATTTATAACGTTAAAAAATTATTTTCGAACGATGTACTTGATGCGATACATGATGGGCGCGTTTAGCAGAGAAAGCTGCTTTGCAACTGTAGTAAAACTCTTTAATCTGATTGGAGTATGTTCCTAATTATTGCAGAATCTAAGAGCACACTCCGCTCGAATTTACAAATTTTACAACTATTGGAAAACAATGTTTTTCTGCTGAACGCAATCGTTGATAAGGAACGAAACTGGTACGAGACATCTTTGCGCCCTTTAGTAACAAAAGATGTTTCTTTTACGGCATATGAAATGTAAAGATAATTTTAATTAGTTATATTTAGTATATTGATACTAATGTTATTAGAGCAATTGCCATTTTTGCGACCCTGCAAATCTTTTATATGAGGCGAGTTCGCCACACCCTAGTCCCGGTACGAAATGCTGTATAATAAAATTGTTTTCCAAACGTATGTTTATGTCTTTGCACGTATTTTTACCTTCAATCTCCCCTTCGCACTCTGCAGGCGCGATCGCGTTAGGGCCTGAGCAGAATGGCTGTCTTGTACTCTTAAGACAATGTTTTATGTTTTTAAGCCTTTGTCTTGAGGTAACGCACAATGACTGTCTTGTGTCTTAAGAGTACAAGGCAGCCGTTCTGCTCGAGCCCTTAGGCTGACGGCAGAGAACGATCCGTAAGCACTTAAGGCTGTCTTAAGTCGTAGACGTAAAGCAAGGCAGAGACTCTTGTAAAGATCTCTTTTATATACGACTTAAGTCTTTCTCTGCCTTGCCTTACGTCTACGACTTGAGACAGTCTTAAGAGCTTA